GGAGGCCCCAGAGACAGTGCACCTGGTGATCAGACTCGACCACGCTGGATTACAACCCTACCACATCCACAAGTGACACACTCAAGGGGCACACTTAGTGAACACCAAAGCCCTACTGAAGTAAATCCTGATCCATAAGGGTGTCCCCAGCTCAGCAGCTCTCTGGCTCTAGTTGCAGCTGGTCCTCACAGCTGATTGGTCTGGGGGTCAGTTCCTTCCAGGGACACCAACAGCAACCAAGGCTCAACTACAACAGGACAGTGCACACAGCCCACACAGGGGAGCACCTAGAAGGCCCAGCTCNAGTTCATCACCTCCAGACCAGCACTACAGGAAAAGTTGAAGGGTCTTCTTTAAGAAGAAGCTAATACACAAAAGAATCTGATGAACTAAATAGATCCAGAGACATTGACGCATGCAACAGACGATCATACTTCAGAGGGAAGAGGGAAGGGGAGTGTAGGGAGTGTAGTTATGCAAAGAAGTTATATGCATAACCCATGGACATGGACAATGATGGGGTGAAGGTCTGGGGAGGGGGTGGGAGCGAGGTGGAGGGAATCAATTGGGGGGGGGAAATGGGACACCTGTAATACTTTCAACAATAAAGATAAATTTGAAAAATAATAATAATTGAAGTATTAGTTTTTTTTATTTTGAGGTTGTCTTTAATAAGCCAGTTGACCATCAAAATCAATACTTTTTACAATAAGATTCTATTCACTTATTAATTTTATATAATACATTTTTGTATATTTTCCTGGTGCAAAATTGTGAAATTTCAAATATGAACAAAGTCAGTTCCTCTTCAATGAATATATTGTACCTTGCAAATAAATATTGAATCCCTGTCTTTGTAGATAAGAACTAAAAGGGAAGCGTTCGTATTTCAAGATCTCTAAGAAGAGGTCGCAATATTTAACATGGAACACAAACCTTGTGAGTCAAATAATGAAGATTTATCAAGCAGTGGCATCGCATCCAATGGAGGTATGTGTTCTTTATAAAACAAAAATGGGGGAAAAATAGAATTAAGCTGTGTTCCTAATATTCATTCAAGCTGCAGTTTTTTAGTATGTTTTGATTTTAACTGTTCAGTGCAGACCTTGGCCATGAATATTTACCATATTGTTTATAAGTATATAT